AAAAATAACTAGTCAATAAATTTTGAAATTATTACCCGTCATTATAGGGCACCAACCAGCAGTCCATAGAGTCATCCTTCAGAGCATTTTCAACATAACGTATGCGATTATTGTTGAATTCGATCCAGCCAGTACTAATTTGCTCATTGCATGAAATCTTGCTCGGATCTAGAAATCGGTATGCATTTTTTCCCTGTAGCTCAAATCGATCACAAAGAACCCTGCAAAAAAATGAATTGGAGAAATTTAAATTAAACTTGTTGTATAGCACACTTCTGATTTAAAAAATGAAATATTGAATGGAAGTGATTGATTTTGGAATACCAAATCCAGTATTGAAGAATAGAAACATCAACATATTTCATTTTCATGAAATCTTTTAACACATCTATCGAGATAGAAAAGGAGAACTCTTCTTGCATCATATCGCTGGTGATGTGAACAACTGCTTCGCTGTGGGTTTGGGTCTCAGATATAATGTGATAGGTGGTTTTCATGAACTCATCCCATGTAGATGGCTCATACTTATCTCATTCAAGCTTTGTGCTCTCCTCCATTAGTTTGGATGCCTTCATTAGTTGCTTCCCCTCTTGACTTGGATGGTCTTGGTTTTCTGTTTTGTTGTCAATCTTTCCTCTTTGGATACGACACCTTTTGCTTCTAATTCCCGTTTGCTCAGATGATATAAACTGCGCAGGTTTCATCTTCTTTTTTGAGGTAAGTGCTCCTGGATAATTTAGTATATAACAAAATTAAGTATAATGCATTAAACAACCTCCCAGGATACCACACAAACATACCATGGTATATTCATACTCCCATGGATTCAAACTGTTCTATGTTCAAAGTTTATATTAAGTTAAGTTTTCCCTTCATGAAGCCTGATCCGAGCCTAATACTTCATCCAGTGATCATAATTAACAACTAGAAGTTCCAAACAAATATGCTTTAAAATGAAATTGTGTTAAAACTCTCAATCCTCGAGTTCCCTGACCCTCACTTCTCGTTTCATGACGAGATTTTGGAACACCAATAGCTTCTACTCCTTTCAAGTAATCACTACAAAAATCAACAACCTCTTCTGCAATGTAGCTTTCAACATGCTTCCGGCCTATATCGGTTCCTCACATACCCCTTTAAAACTTTCATGTCACGCTCAAATGGGTACATATACCTCAAACGTGTATAATTCGAGCATCCTGGCCACAAAGGTTTTTCCGCATCAGTTAGCAATTTTTTCAACTCCCCTGGTCGATCAGTGAACTCTTGTCGAACATCACAAAACATTTCCCCCAACCGATCTTCACCCACATCATCATTATCCACGTGGTCCCCATGACACGCAGAATCTTGTACTTCCCCATGCCATATCCATTGTGTATACCCTTCGTTAAACCCATTACAAATGAGATGATCAAATATATCAGAAACATTTGATGTCCACATATTCATGCAACATCTACATGGGCAATAGAACTTCCCTTCAATTTGGGAGCATGCTTCTCTGCAAACTCTATAAAACCTTTAACCCCTTTCATGTAATCAGCACTAGTCCGAACAGCAGTTATCCAACTTTTATCCATGACAATTTAGCTATATATAAACCATAAAACAAACTATGACAACTTAGTATAACAAGAAGTAATAAAAATAGAATCACATTAATCTCAAATATCAAGAATTGAAATAAAAATTCATGTTTGTAAAAAGAAAATGAGAAAACTAGAAAAACATTAAACAATAAGAGGTTAACAAGAGGTTGAGTTAGGGTGGCGTGTAGAAAACGAGAGAGAGCAGAAAAATTGAGAGAGAGAAGGGAGCTATTCATTTTTCGGATTTCTGTGCGCAGCATTTTTCAGACTGATGTTTGGAGGATCAAACGGTGTCCAATTGTTCTGAAATTTTAGGGGCAGGTTCGGGACACATTGAACTTGATTTCCACCGGTCAGTTTTGGATTTGAAGGTCTGCATGCAGAGATATTTGCATCTGAACAGAGGCAGTTTTTTCTGGTTTTTCTGCGTATTCTCTAGTTGTTTGCTCCTTGTTGTGGAAGTAAATTTGCAGCATGTTTATACTTATTACAGCCCTTGTTTGAGACACTCTTGTACCCTATTTCTGGTCATAGTGGAGCTTTCTTGGTGGTCTTTGTGACCCGTGGTTTTTACTCTCGATTTGAGGGGTTTTCCACGTAAAAATTCTGGTGCATCGTGTCTTTATTGTTTGTGCTTATTTGCTATTATCTTGTTGCTCTTTTTGATCCTCTTACTCTTGCAAGTGGGGAATTTGTATTTGGTGTGGTTGTATTCTCTTTTAAATTCCCATAAAAAAGGACCTACAACACCACAAGTGAAAGCCTAGAGTTTACCCAATAATTACCCAATAACAACCTGAGGATACTTTACCCCTTCATGTAAAGCCTAGTGTTTTTTTTGAAAGACTACCGGATCAAGAAGTATATACGTGTGATAACCTCAAGTTATTTTAATTCTCAATTACAGTTAACATTATATCAAACTAATATAAGTGGTCTATATAACCAGTAACCAGTATACTATAATTTTGAATTCAATAGTTATTTTGGCAGTGTATTTCGGAAGTATACTACAATTTTGGATTCAACAGTGCTTTAAAAACCAGTTCTTTAGCTATTCTATGGCAGTGTATGTGGTTGAGAAATAATACAGTTGCAAAATTTAAATTTATCCATAGCTCTTATTTTTTTAACAGAAGAAGAAATAAAACCAATCTAAAAGAACCAATTTACTTTAGGATTCAATACAATAGCTCTTCTTTATTCAAAATAAAGGATACAAAAACGAGTCTAAACCTGTTAAATACTTTAAAATTCATCAATACAATAGGATTCAAAAACCAGTGTAAACTAATAGCTCTTCTTTTTACCTTGCAGAGTGTTGGGAAAAAAGATGGTATACAATCAATTTCTAAATTAAAGCCTTAAAAACACTAATTTGCAGAAAATTAAACGATTTCGAAAATAAATGAAACCTGTATGGATCCGCGATTGATTCTTGCAAGTAGTCAATTGATTATGCGAGAAATCAAGAAATAGAGGCCGGCTATCAATTTGAGACTACGGAAATCAATCAATTTGCACGTTTCGATCGATAGAGGAAACCAACCGGTGCTGGTTTGGCGATCGAGAGAGTTTGAAATCTGGAGTTGGTTGGGAGAGGGAATCAACCTGCGCTGGAGTTCTTTTAATTTGCGCAGGTGAGGTTTCACAGCGCCACCGCTGTGTAAGCATAAAAAGAAAAAAAGGGATACGCGTTAATAACCTCCAATTCTCCAAATAGCGCTAGTAATAGGTCTTAAAATTTACACAGCCCTTTTAGGTTATTAGGTTATTCGCTAAAGTGCGCTGTGTAATGTATATTCTGTAGTAGTGAAGGACTGCTAACATAATACTCTCTCCGTTCCATAAAGATAGGGACGGTTTGACTAAAGTGTTAAAATAAGGAGAGATAATTTTGTGTTGACTTTCCAAAAATACCCTTGATGTGATGGGTAAAAGAAAGATGTGATGTGTAGATTATTAGAAAAAAAGCATGGTGTGATAAGTAGGGTATGAAAAAGTAAAAGGTAAAAAAGGTTTTTTAATAAAAATGGGAAGAACTTTTAGGCACACGATTTTTTTGAAACGTGAAAGATTTTATGGGACAGAGAGAGTATTTGATAAATATGAGCTAAATATGAAAAAACTTCTAGTTCTAAGTGGTGACATTACAATATAGCAAAAGAAAAAAATGGCTCAAAGAGTTCCAATCAATCAGACAATGTTTGTTTGCGTAATAAGTTTGCCAATAAATATTACTCCCCCGTCCTAAAACTTTCTTCCCAGAGCACTATTCCAACTTCACGGGAATTCATATTTATTTGTGTTTTTTCATGGCATATATGATAAAAAAAAATATTCTTATCACCACTTGTTTTGTTGAACTTTTGATGTAGTTTTTAAATATGTATGTTTTATTTTTTATTTCTATACTAATATTTAAATAAAATAGATTGAAAAAACTTAGAATTTTTTTTCGTTTTGCTCAACGGGAGGAAAGATATAGGACAGAGGGAGTATACGGAGTATATACTCAGACATGCAAATAGTAATTGTATGTGGATGTAAAGAGCAAGAACAAAATACTTTGTCTGAGTCGTAGTGTTTTAGCCTCATCTTCATCGGGCTCACGAAAATCATTTTTGTATGAATCATCTCCAAGATCTACTCGGATTTTACTGATTCCTCATCTTCCTCGTCGTCTTTGACACTGCCTCATTCATCCTCCGACAGAAAATGGTTCCCCCATATATATTTTTTGATACCACTATTTCGGATCTGTATCAGAGGTGCCAGATTCTCTTTCACCAGAGTCATATTTAGGGATCATAAGTTCTTTAGAGGCGGGGGTTGGGAAAGGAGATGACCTTTCCTCATCGCTATCACTTAAGAGCTTGAAGGAGGGCATGATAAGATCGCGAATCACCATTTTTTGTGATTTGATTTTGGAAGGGGGGAGAGAGAGGGAGAGAGGGAGAGAGAGAGAGAGAGATTTTAGGTTTAAGGGTAGAAATATCTTTTTTGGGGAATAATATACGAGTATATCTTTGTGGGACAAAAAAGTTATGAAACATGTAAAACTTTCTAGAGCGGAGGGAGTATTTGTTAATGTTAATATTTTGTATATTATTTAAGTAAAGTAAAGATGTTATTTAATATATTTAAATTTATATTTTTTATTGGTTAAAGTTTAGACGAAGGATTATATTAATTATTATACTTATTTTATTTAAAATTATATTATTTGTTTACATTAATTACTACTCCCTTTGTCTCAAAATAATAGTCAACCTTTTCTTTTTGAGTGTCTAAAAAATTAAAGAGTCTCCAATTCAATTTTTATTAACAAAAATTAATTTAAATATTTTAAATTTAATCTATATTGTTTGTGAATTACTCTCTCTGTCCCAATTTAAATCCCGTGTTTCGGGTTACGATGTTTGAATGAATCTCTTTTCAAATCATTTTATATGAAAAATGTTACGGAGTATAAAATAAAAAATAAATTATATATTTAAAAACTACATGAAGAGATCTACAAAATTAGTGATAACATGACTATTATTTTATCAAATGAATAACAAAAATAGAGAATGAAAATGATTAAAGTTTAACCATGTAAATAGTAAACACACAATTTAATTTAGGACGAAAGGAGTATTTAAAAATTACTCTCTCTGTCCCATAGTCTTTGTCCACTTACCTTTTGGCACACCATCCAATGCACTTCTTTAATCCATTTTATCTTGTAATTTGTATATTAAAAAATTATAAAAATTATATATTAATAATCTATATGCTAAGACGAATCAAACAAGATCACACATGACTATTTTTAGGCTTACACATTGAGAGAATTTGATGAGTCAAAGTGCTTAGATGAACAGTTCCAAAAGTCAAAACTGGACAAAAACAATGAGACGGAGGTAGTATTTTAAATTAATGTATATTCTTGGTTTAAGTTAAATATATAAAAAATGAATGTAGTAAATGGGCAAAATAGTGTATGAACATCAAATCTTATAATAAGAAAAGTATGAAATTAGTAGAATCAGATGTGGAAGAGAGACTACACTAAGAAAGATATGAAAAGGGTGTATACCCTCCACCACCCTAATCAAATAAATTGAATTGAAAATAATTTTAGTCAAACCTCGTAAGCCAAACTGGAAAACTCATTTTAGAACGGAGAGAAAATATTTTCAAGTTTTGGTCTAAATGACCGTTGGAACCAAAAGAAAAAGAGAAGCAGAACATGTTATTGAATTAAATGAATCTCTAGCGACTTCGTATTTCTTCGAGGGACTTCCTTTAGTCTTACGACTCACATTGGTCGTACCTCTTTCAAATGAGTTTCACATAGTGAAATAAATCCCTGTACGTTGGTCGAATCAGTTGAACATAGTTTAACAAATTCTCTAGTGACTCCCTCGACCGAAAGTGAGAGGTACGAAGTGAGAGGCCTATGCTTCCTTTACCGATCTCAAGTAAGCGTAATGGAAACCAACAAAGAATCTATGGAACAGACTACCAAACACAAAATAAATTCAGTTTTGATGCCAAACACAAAAAGGCTAGAATCCACTTTTAGTCTCTCTGAGCAATTAGTTAACAAAACACATGGATACAACAATAATTACAACAGCAGTTACAACAAAAACAAAGACTTCAACAAGGCGCTAAAAAAGAGAGGCGGAGGATCCCGTGGAAAGAACTGTAAGAGCATTGGCAGCGGCAAGGATTTGCCTTGCCACGCCCTACCATCTGTGGAGATCCAAGAGACACAGCGGGAGTGGAAAAAATTGGATCGCGTGGCATGCCGCGAGCCATTCCGATCTGCGAGGCGAGTGCGAGGCAAATAGGAGCACTCCGATCCGGCCGTTTCTCGTCTCTATCCTCTGCGGAAATCACTGGCGGCACCCCTCTTTGGAAGTCAGATCTGCTTTAGCCACCATCGTCGTGCCGATTTGAACGACATCGATGTAGGCAAGACGCTGCTATCCATTTCTGAGAGAGCAATTCGGAATGCGCATCGGACAGCTGCGAGCGGTAGGAATTTGATGGATCTGACTCCGGAGCGAGTGAAAAGAGATGCTGAGTTCGGGTTACTTCGGGTTCAGATAAGTTCGGGTTCGGGTTCGGTCACCTTGTGTTCGGGTTACTTCGGGTTCGGATAAGTTTGGGTTCGGGTTGATAACTACATGTTCATGACCCAGTGTCATTGGGTTCGAGTTGACCCAACGAGTTATGGGTTTCATTTATTTTTTGAAATTTTAAGTAATTTTTATGACTTAGTGTCAATATTGCGAATAAAAAATTAAATATATAGAAATTTTGAAAAAATGAAAGATAATTATGCGACATTGTTAAAATTTGTTATGATTTTATAAATCTATACACAAAAAATGAGTAGTAAGCAAAGAAATATAATTATAATCTTATTTTTATAATACTATATTTAATATAAAAATGTATGATTCTAAAAAAATCTTAGATTAGCAGGTCGGTGAGGTCGGGTTCAGGTCCGGTCGGGTTTGACCCATTTTTAGCGGGTCATTTCGGGTTCGGTCAACTTCGGGTTCGGTCAGCAAAACCTTTGTTCAAAACCCAGTATTTTCGAGTCGGGTCTCGGGTCAAAAACAGGTCGGGTCATTTTTTGCCAGGTCTAGCTGAGGCCGTGCAATAGTTCTGAAGTTTGTTCTGGGCCTCTGTTTCTCTTCTTTGCCATTTTGGTATGTAAAAAAATGTTAAAATTGCAAAGTAAACAAAAAAAGTGACATGTCACTGTAGGATAATGTCATGCCACTGTGTAACTAGATTGGTTTTGATGGGTCGGTGCCATGTCAGCTATGGCATTCCAATGCATGTCTTGCCATTGTTCATGCTCTAAGGGCAGAGAAGATTATCCGTTAATCACATATGCCTAACACCACTCTCATATGAGAGCAAAAGTATACAAGGTGAAAAATCTCTTGCATCAAGTCAAACAAATCGTTCCAGTAAAAGGGAGGTCATTCCATATCTGACATGTACCCGCCGGAAAATATCAGATTTAATGCCAAATACTAGCATTCTTACATAGAGAAAGAACAAATTGAGAAAGTGAAAAAAAACAACCATTTTCCATGATACTTTTCTACAATGAAACTGAAGCTCTCACCAAAGAAGAAGGAGCCGCAGGTTGCACTTTCTTCTTAAGCCTTTCTGTTCAAGGAAAATAATATTATGAATACTCCAAAGATGTATATCACTGGTTAAGGAAGACAATAGGACTAATCCTATACAAAGGGTGGTGTGTGGGTATCATACTTTAGATCGAACACATACCCCTCTTATAATTAGTGTTAATCACAAGTACCTAGCAACCCTGCCACACAGGAGGAAGAAAAACATAATTTAAAGAAGCCCCGTATCTCTTCCCAAGAGAACAAGGACATGGGGGTAATGTATAGTTTGCCTAAAATAATACTCCCTCTGTCCTAATCACGATGTTTGACTTATTTTCAATTTAATTTATTTGATTATAAGTGTAAAATTCAAAAATTAAATTTATATATCAAAAGATTACATAAACAATTCTACAAAACAAGAAGTGACATGAATATTATATTATGAAAATAGTGTTAAAGATAAGGAAACAAAGTAAATAAAATTTGACCGTATGACTAAGGGAGTAACATCAAAGCTTTTAGTTTGATCTTAGCTTTCCAATACAACCAAATTATTGACACAACATCAAGCATTCAAAGTTCTTCTTAGAGGCCAAAATTCACAAGTTAAAAACAATCATTTTCTGAAGTCAATAAAACAATAAAAAACCAACCTAAATAGTAAACGAGCTCTAATCATGTTTGAACATGTGTATGCAAAAACTGAAGTTAACCAAGTAACAGACATGTATGAAAACCACCTTATATCTTCATGTGTGCCCTTAATTTCCAACTTGAATCCGGCTGCTCTCAATGAATCAGCAAATTCTACCGCGAGATCGTGACGATCCATTGGCTGAATGGGGGGGGGCTCTATAAGAACCGATATGTGGGATAAAAGAAAAAAAAAGAAAAATGCTGAGATGAAGTGGTTAAATCATGGCATGAAGAACTCAGCATTCCTCTTCCATGGGGCAATCAAAAAAGAGACAAAGTAGCTAGAATGAATCAATCATTAGAACATACCTCTGTTCTTTCTGAAAGACGAAACTTGTCAAGAACACCACCGACTTGATTGAAAACATTTTAGCCTTCTCAACAAATGTCCATTGTAACTCTTCCTTCATGCATCGTTCTAATGGGGGGCTTTCATCAGCATTAGCTTTATTTAACAACTTTTCCCAAGCCACCATAAGCAAAACACATAGCTCCAGAAGTTTTCCACATCGTGCCAAGGACATACTCGTCATATGTTGAAGCTCTTCAGTTTTGAAAGCAAGCAACTTTATGGCCTCTAGTGGCTCTTGATGCAATATAAGTACCAAAATAAGAGAACTATTTCTACATTATTCATCTCAACTGCAAACAACTTTATGGCCTATAGTGGCTCTTGCAGCAATATCAGTACCAGAATTAGAGAGCTATTTCCACATTATTCATCTCTAACTTCAAATAAAAAGGACACAAGATAAATGTGTACCTCTAACTTATTGAAAGAGTGTCACTTTGGTGTCTATTGTGTTCAAAAGTTGCAAGCTTATCTCATGTCTAGTCCAAGTAAAATGTGCATATGAGTTTGTAATTTGACGTGTTGTTAAAGTAAAGAGCATTTCTCATACACAATTCCATTCAAAAACAGAAAATTTTCAAAAGAGTGCAAACGAAAATTGCTCCAACCAAGGAATGTGTAATATATAAGCACAAAACAATTTGGATGAATTAAACCAGAAGACAAAGAGATAAAGCGAGTACCAGTTCCAGGAGACAAAGTAAAAAGATCAGCTTAAAGATAGACTCGGAAGGAGACCAATCAAGGACAGCTTTGTTGTTGCAGATTGCCGTTTTGAGAGCCACATCTAGTGGGGTGAGTCCAACATCCTTACTCCCATGATCAATGCATATCACATCAGAGTTTGCTCCAAGCTCCATAAAGAGTTTTATCATTCTTGGTGATAAACATTGAGCCGCGTAATGCAATGGGTAATATCTGTTCGGGTGGTGGTATGAAACCATCGAAGTTCTAAACTTTTGCTTTTTAAAATTGATCTCTGCTTCGTTTTCCTCGTTCTCATTGCATTACTGCTGCAGGTGTTCCAATTCGTCCTACAAGTACACCTGTTAGTATACGCGATGCCCCAAAGCAAAAAGTTAACCCAGGTGAACCAAGACCCCCATCTTCCAAAGTCCTTACTGCTCCAGACTCTAATGTACCAGCTACTCCGACTAAAGGTTTGCTTTTTGATTGAAAACATTGTGCTAGCCTCTTTCACATTATTTTGGATTTTCATTTGCTTCATATTGTGGCAACCCGTTGGACCTCAACTGCTACCTGATTCATAATTTATTGTTTCACTCTAGCAGCAGCACACACATTTCTGGGCCATTCTCTCTTCAGTCTGGGTCAATAAGTCCTAATTTCATGAATGGGGTGCAGGTAATTTCAACTCACTTGATCTATATGGTATGCTATTTTTAAATGTTAAAATCTCCAAGGCTATATTTGGAACAACGAACACGACAGGGAAAGGAAAAATGAAATGCAAAGGAAAATGTTTATTTTTCTCGGTTTTGCTTATTTTGATTTGATACGCCTTATATTATACTCCTGTCCCAATTTGATATGCACACAGCACACTATGGATGTTCGCAACTCACAAGAATTAATTAAGTTTAAACTGTGCGGTTGAAAATTTATATAGAAGAGAGAGAACCATTATAAACCACTAATACTTTTTATAGATGGAAATAGACTCAATAAAATGGAATGGACCAAAAAACATGCACAACAAATTGGGAGAGAGGGAGGGGATATATGCAAACAAAATGCGTTTTGACAAACATTTAAATTTGGTTGATTGAGTTTGAACACTTTCTTGTATTACCCTAAAGTCCATTTCTGAATTTCTCCTCTATTACGCTTCATATATTCTATCCCTTGAATTTTATGGGTCCCAAACTGATCCTAAAGAGGCTAAAGACTTCTTTGCACCATTGTGTGATAGTGAATGATATATATTTTCTGGTTCTATGCCAAATTGCCGATCATCACCATTCATATAACCTTTTGTTTTTCAGTGTTAATATCGTAGTTAAATTTAGATGGTTATATTGGCTCCCAGGATTTCCATTCTAATTCCTTACCCTTTAATATTTTTTTTCTTGTAAGTTTTTCTTAGACTCTGTGAAAGCCATGCCAAATCCATCCATATTAGACTGAACAGTTTAATAACACCGGGAGTTTGGGTTTAGGTTCAGTTCAGTCCAGGTTCAAGAGGGATGTGCCTGTTTCTTATCCACCGACGCATTACCTTGTTCTCATCCTGGACCACTTTTGACTGGAGTGGTCACCTTGCACCAGCACCCTTTCATTATGGTGGGGGTCTCACTTAGGGCTTATTAGTGCTCAAGGAGGTGGTATGCGACGTAACGGTGTTGATGCTAGTAGATGGATACAAGGAACTCCTTTCCATAAGGGTCTATGGAGTATGCACTCTCACACTCCATCACAAGTGATGCAAAAAACTGAAAAGTATGAAGTTGGTAAGGTAACAAGCGAGGAGCAAGCAAAGCAAAGGCGATTGAAAGCGATTCTCAACAAGCACACTCCTCAGTACTTTGAAAAATCATTCGAGCACGTCAAAGATGTCAACATTGACCCTTAGGGCAGACCCTTGGTGTAACCCACCTTGACAGTCAGAGTCGCCCCCGATAGTCTTCACCATAGCCCCTAGTTCCGATATAGATATCTCTAACTACGCAAATGTACACAATTGGATTCCCACCCTTTATATTCAAGACAGCTCCACAAAGCCTCTCTCAGTACCGCATCGTACGTCTCTCAAGATCAAATCTCACCCTTCACGATGTTTTTAAATAATTCCGATCAAACATCATAAATCGAAGCATGAGTCTTATTTCAAACAGATGGAACAGTTTATTAAATATTTTATTTACATGTTATGCTTCAAAATAATTTTAAACAATTTGAAACATTTATTTTTAAATTTATTAGATTATAGTTATAGTTTTATTTATTATATTTTCATCCTATAAAATTTCAATTTAATTTTACATATTTAATGGATTTTTATTTCAAAAATGAACTAATTTGGGAAAATACCTAATCAGAAAAGATCATTTTTGGGGAATTAGTATAACTTTTAACACCGTTTTGACGCAATTTTGATGGCCGTTAGGAGAGGACTAAACTGATTATTATTATCAAATTACGGGTACCATCTCAATAATTTTTAGACTAGTTTGAACATTTTTCTAACATGAGAAGGGAGGGGGCCAGACAAGCTCTAATTTAATCCACTTCATAGAAGGTTCAAGGCGGTCAGTTGCAATTTTGCTCCCGAAAGATGTTTTTGAACTCGATCGCGGTCTGTTAAATGTCATCAATGAACACGATCTTGGCTCATAGATTCTAGTGCTTCATTTCATGCCACCCACAACGCTGAAGCATTTCAAAATTTGGTTATTGGGGATTTTGGAAAGGTGCAACTAGCGGACGATGGAGCTCTTGATGTGACGGGCATGGATCACATGGTATTGCAGACCCCAGTTGGTTTAAGACTTTGAAAGATGTCAGAATGGTTGCAGCCTTGAAGAAAAGTTTGATTTCTGTCAAGTAGTTGGACGAACAAAGGCATGAGGTGAAGTTCAAAGACAATTAGTTGGACGAACAGGGACACATTCATGGTCATCGCGGCGAAAAAAGAATAATTTCTTCGTGACGGCGATTATTCCATTTAATGCGAGTGACACTAGATCCTCTGTGTGTTCCTTTTTGTCCTCATCCTCAGAGGTTAACGAGCTGTAATGCATGCCACCATAGACCGACAAAAAAATCAACTAATTGGTTTGATTTACGGCGAATATCATGTACGCGGATTGTTTTTGCCGTCTTCCACAATATTCTTGATCAAATTAGAGTTGGTGAAGGAGATCATTGACAAGTTCAGCCCTAGCACCTCTGCGTCTCACGAATGACTTAGCACTCACTTTCATAATCATATCCAAACAATCGGATAAGAGCATGAAACCATTTTCTAGCCGAAAACCTCCTTAACAGAAAATTTTTTGCACCTCTTTACAGCATTCCAATGCCTTGACCATTCCCAACTCTTCCTCGGGTGTTTGGAACGCCCTCGGGTGTTCGAAACACTGCCGCTACTGCTCAGTGAACAAATGAAGCGTCACAATTTATAGTGACATATCTAGGGGCCCAACCCAATGACTTAATTCAAGTGCCTCCTTCATAAAAGGAGGCCACTGGTAAGAGAACCTAATTTGCTCTCAAGAAAAAAGCCTAAATATCTTGCCTTCCCATCTGGGGTAACGCCACAGCATTGAAAATGCATCCTCTAGATTGATGGCCATGCACGGGAATGAGACCATTAGGTAGTGCTCTTCGACCTTAACTTCATACACTCCTAAATTCTTACTTTTTTGTTCGACATAATGAATAGTACAAATAATAGCATACTACTATAGAACATTATAACTTAAAATCAGAGACAACCCTAAAAAATCAGACTTACAGTGATGGTGGGTGGTGCTTCGTAAAGCACTGTGTCCGATCCTGTAAACATTGTCGGAAAACTGAATCCATCAACCTAGAAACAAAGGAGACTCGGTTAGGACACGAACGAGAGCAACCTCTGTGAACTGGACTTTCTTTCTCTTCCGAATGAGACCGGGATAAGCAAATGCTATTTTTTGTAATCTGCGACGCACTCAAACATTCTGTTGCAGTTCTGCGACGGGAAAAAAAAGTTCCGTCGCAGAGTAGTTGCAGATCTGCGACGGAGTGATGTCCGTAGCAAATATCTGTTGCAGATCCGGCAGATTCTTGTAGTGTTGGAAGTCACGTAGTCTCTCTTGGAAGTTTGTTGACAAAAACAAATACACCAATAACCAAAATAGCATTAGGAGAGAGAATGTATGAGATAAAAATCTATTATTTAGTTCACAACTCAAGAACTTATATATCAACTATTCAACTTCCGATATGGGATAGACTCTAATACGATACACACACCTTGTATATGGCAGTTTGGTGGAAGACCATAATGCAACACTTTCATCTCCCCTCTTGTCACTCAATCTCAGGGACGCCCTCTCACTTTTGTGGCGTTACCCGGGATAGGAGGAGAGAATATTCGGCGTACTTCACCGTGAAAGCATCCTAATTTACCACGAATGGTCATCCGAATTAGAAACTATACCCGAAGTGTGTTATTGGGTGGCTCCATCAGGTTTTCTCACGGTAAATTGTGATGCCTCTATAATGAGACGAGCAATTGGGATTGTTTTTCGAGGATTTCATGGCAGCCCTCTAGGTAATTGCCATGAGTTGATGCCGGACGATTTTATGACGATTGAAGAAGGTGAGATTTTTGCAATGGCCAAGGCCTTAGAGAAAAGCAAAGAGATGTTAAAAACCCATCCAGCAAGTTGTACCCGGAACTGTTACTTCTATCGGATAGCCTTGACATGGTGAAGAAACTTAGCTCTAAATCATTCTTGAAGCGGAAATCGGCTAAGTCGGCGTAAGTCGATAGACTTCTCCGAGATGCATACGATTTGATCACGGGAATAGAGCAGGATGGCAAAGATGTCAAACTTCTCTATGTTTGCCGTGAATCAAATCAAGTCGCCGACTTCCTCTTGGCATATGATGTCACCGAAAAAGAATCGTCGACCAAAGAGGCTCAAGTGGAAGACGTAGGCATGATAAAGTACCAATACAATGAATTAGTGAAGCTTGATAAAAGGGGTTCATTTTTTCGTGAGAGTCTCCTTACTCGTGTTGGACAATGTAAGTGTAAAACTTTTATATTGCATTGTGTTAGTATGTTTTTTGTTAGCTATTACGGATTATTAATGTGCTTTTTGTTTTTATTTTTTTAAATTCATAGTGTGTGGGGTTGAAATTCCCAAAAAGGAAAGGATGTCCAAGTGATTGACTAGCTCTGGTAATACCCCTTGAGATCCAATAAGCTTTATTTTTTTCATGAGTGTTTAGGTCATTGATACAATTGCATATTTCTCCAAGAATATATAACTACTTTGTCAATGATGCTTTTTGTGTTTTAAGTTGGTGCATGCATATTTAAATATGTAATGTTGTGTTTAGTAGTGTAGTGTCTCCTACACAAAAAAAATTACATATTTATATATGCATGCACCAAATTAAAACACAAAAAGCATCATTCGCAAAGTAGTTATATATTCTTGGAGAAATATGCAATTGTATCAATAACTCAAAAACTCATAAAAAAATAAAGCTTATTGGATCTCAAGGGGTATTACCAGAGCCACTACCTCTTCAATCACTTGGGCAACCTTTCTTTTTGGAAATTTCAACCCCACGCACTATGAATTAAAAAAAATAAAAACAAAAAAACACATTAATAATTTGTAATAGCTAACAAAAAACATATTAACACAATGCAATATAAAAGTTTTACACTTACACTGTCCAAGACGAGTAAGGAGACTCTCACGAAAAAATAATGAACCACTTTTATCAAGCTTCACTAATTCATTGTATTGGTACTTTATCATGTCTAAGCCTTGCGCTTGAGCCTCTTTGGTCGACGAAGCTTTGTCGATGACACCATACGCCGAGAGGAAGTCGGAGACTTGATTTGATTCAAGGCGAACATAGAGGAGTTTGACATCTTTGCCATCCTCATCTATTCCCGTGATCAAATCGCATGCATCTCGGAGAAATCTGTTGACAGACGCCGACCTAGCCGATTTTCGCTTCAAGAATAATTTAGAGCTAAGTTTCTTCACCATGTCAAGGCTATCCGAGAGAAGAAACCGCCCCCCTGGTACAACTTGCTGGATGGGTTTCTAACATCTCTTTGCTTTTCTCTAAGGCCTTGCCCATTGCAAAAATCTCACCTTCTTCAATCATCATAAAATCGTCCGGCATCGAATCATGGCAATTACCTAGGGGCTGCCGTGAGATTCTCGAAAAACAATCCTAATTACTCGGCTCATCATAGAGGCATCACAATTTGTCGTGAGAAAATCCGATGGAGCCACCCAATAACACACTTTAGGAGTACAATATCTAATTCGGATGACCATTCGTGGGAGATTAGGATCCTTTCACAGCGAACTACGCCGAATATTCTCTCCTCCAATCCCGGGTAACGCCACAAAAGTGAGNCCTTCTTCAATCATCATAAAATCGTCCGGCATCGAATCATGGCAATTACCTAGGGGCTGCCGTGAGATTCTCGAAAAACAATCCTAATTACTCGGCTCATCATAGAGGCATCACAATTTGTCGTGAGAAAATCCGATGGAGCCACCCAATAACACACTTTAGGAGTACAATATCTAATTCGGATGACCATTCGTGGGAGATTAGGATCCTTTCACAGCGAACTACGCCGAATATTCTCTCCTCCAATCCCGGGTAACGCCACAAAAGTGAGAGGGCGTCCCCGAGATTGAGTGACAAAAGGAGAGATGAAAGTGCGGCATTATGGTCTTCCACCAAACTCTCATAAGCATTGAAAAGTTTCTTAAGAACATGCATGTCCTGTACATTTATGTTAAAAAAAGGTTGAATAATAATAATAATAATAATATAAAAGAGAGAATTATGGCAGCCATGGGTGGACTTATTGTATAAAAACAGTGTTATGGAAAGCTGCAAAATCTCCTAACAACATTATTTAATGCTTTCCCTCACAATTCATTGCAATCTTCAAAAATAACACACTCCAATATAAGATATTATAAACCTAAAAACAAAGCTTTACAGACTAACTTTGATTGTTTGAGGTCCATGATAAAGTTTGGCATCCCCTCCATGATACATAGGGGAAAACGGAGGAACGAATTTCACGGCCCGGATAGAGGGGGGACCTCGTAGCAACCTGGATTGGGGCAATCTCTTCCGAAATAGATCTTAACAACCCAATGTTAGGTTTTATCACCGACGAAGAGAGTAACCTTGTCAGCACTACTTTCCTTACTGCCATCCTCATGGAGCTGAGAACAAGAAATGGACCGAGTAATAAGGTTTTGTGACTCGGTGAGCTTCCCGATCTTCCGATGTGCTCTGTGAATTTTTTCGATTATCTCTCTTCGATGTCAAAAAGGGTATATGGAGAAAAGACAAGGAGAACAGAAGAAGTAGTCAGTCACCTCGCCTCCATTCGAAAACAAAAAATACGGAGCACTCCGTCTATTTATTTCATTTTTATTTTTATAAACAAGATATTAGCCCATAATTAGATATTCTAGTGATGATTCCTAAATGTGGGATCTATGAATCATCACTAAAATATCTAATTATGGGCTAATATCTTGTTTATAAAAATAAAAATGAAATAAATAGACGGAGTGCTCCGTATTTTTTGTTTTCGAATGGAGGCGAGGTGACTGACTACTGACTACTTCTTCTGTTCTCCTTGTCTTTTCTCCATATACCCTTTTTGACATCGAAGAGAGCTAATCGGAAAAATTTACAGAGCACATCGGAAGATCGGGAAGCTCACCGAGTCACAAAACCTTATTACTCGGTCCATTTCTTGTTCTCAGCTCCATGAGGATGGCAGTAAGGAAAGTAGTGCTGACAAGGTTACTCTCTTCGTCGGTGATAAACCCTAACATTGGGGTGTTAAGATCTATTTCGGAAGAGATTGCCCCAATCCAGGTTGCTACGAGGTCCCCTCTCTATCCGGGCCGTGAAATTCGTTCCTCCGTTTTCCCCTATGTATCATGGAGGGGATGCCAAACTTTATCATGGACTTCAAACAATCAAGGTTAGTCCGTAAAGCTTTGTTTTTAGGTTTATAATATCTTATATTGGAGTGTGTTATTTTTGAAGATTGCATTAAATAATGTTGTTAGGAGATTTTGCAGCTTTCCATAACACTGTTTTTATACAATAAGTCCACCCATGGCTGCCATAATTCTCTCTTTTATATATTATTATTATTATTATTATTATTATTATTATTATTATTATTATTATTATTCAACCTTTTTTTAACATAAATGTACAGGACATGCATGTTCTTAAGAAACTTTTCAATGCTTATGAGAGTTTGGTGGAAGACCATAATGCCGCACTTTCATCTCTCCTTTTGTCACTCAATCTCGGGGACGCCCTCTCACTTTTGTGGCGTTACCCGGGATTGGAGGAGAGAATATTCGGCGTAGTTCGCTGTGAAAGGATCCTAATCTCCCACGAATGGTCATCCGAATTAGATATTGTACTCCTAAAGTGTGTTATTGGGTGGCTCCATCGGATTTTCTCACGACAAATTGTGATGCCTCTATGATGAGCCGAGTAATTAGGATTGTTTTTCGAGAATCTCACGGCAGCCCCTAGGTAATTGCCATGAGTAGGGGTGAGCATCGGTTCGGTTCGGCTGGTTTCGGC